TGTTACAATTGAGGGGTGACAATGGTAGTATTTTAGACACGGAAGTAGATATTTGTAACGAGTGGAAAGCGTACTTTCAAAAACCTTATACACCTGCAAATAATCCTGTTTTTGATAACGGCTTTAAGCAAGAGGTCGAAGGCGCAATTCATAGAATTGATCAATTAACGCGCACCCAAACTGACGATAATTTACAGGAACCGTTTTCGGAAGTCGAAGTTATCGCTGCTATAGATAGATTGAGATTAAATAAAGCACCGGGGCACGATCTTGTCACCCCAGAGCATATAAGGTACGGTGGTACAAGGTTAATCTCGGTCTTAACGTATCTATTCAATGCTATAATCGAAAATGAGTTCTTTCCGGATTCTTTTAAAATAGGGGTCTTAATAACGTTATTCAAAGGAGGGAACAAAGATATTTTAGAAAAAGATAACCATAGGGGTATCACGTTAATGACCATATTTAGCAAACTATTTGAAAATTTATACATAGCACGAGTTAAGGCCGATAATAACATTGAACCGATACATTGTCTGCAAGGGGCAGCAATAGATGGTACTTCTTGTATCCACACATCGATGGTCGTGCGGGAGACTGTCGCGCATAATGCGGACAGGGGTAGTGATACATATATAGCATCATTGGACATTAAAAAATGTTACGATTCTGTCTGGATAGATGGGTTGTTGTATACACTCTTTAACCAAGGTTTCAAGGGGAAAATATGGAGAATTTTGAAAATTTGGTATTCGGATTATCAATGCAGGGTTAGAGTGGGAAAATCTATGTCTGATCCTTTCTTCGTTAACCAGGGAGTCCATCAGGGGGGTGTCTGTAGTTTGATGCTCTATATGCGTTTCACAAATAGCCTCTTAAAGGAACTCGAACAAAGCAATGCTGGATGCAGAATCGGCAATATTAATGTAACCTCACCCACATACGCCGATGACCTGATCCTCATGGCTGTGTTCCCAAGGTCCTTACAAACATTACTGGACATAGCATATCGTTTCAGTACGCGATGGCGTTTCACCTTCCACCCTGGGAAGTCAAAAACGTTGATGGTTTGCACTAAAGAGAGACAGGGCCGCAAAGACTTGTGTTTTTACCTTGGACCAGATAAAATGGATCATGTCAGAGAATGTACACATGTGGGTCTCATTTTAAATACAAATGGTAACTTGAAACAACATATTGATAATGCAATGGGAAAGGCTAGAAGGGCTATCAACGCGGGAGTGGGGCTTCTCAGCAGTGACTCCTTCGAATACAATCCACTGACGGCCTCTATTTTATATTGGTCCATATCGGTACCATCCATGACATACGGTATGGATATCCTGCCATTGAAACAATGTGATTATGATACCCTTGAATTGACACATAGACAAATAGCAAAACGTATTCAACAATTGCCATGTAATGTGCATAACGAAGCTTCCTTGGCACAACTGGGCTGGTCGAGGATTCGTGCGGTCATAGATACAAAAAAGTTAATGTTTCTGTGGTGTATCCTAAATCTACCAACCACATGTGTGTATAAAATGATTTTTATAATTGAGTTCTTTAGATGGAAGTCAATTTCTGAACATTCAAAGTTGTATAGCAACTATTCAGTAATAAATGCAGTTTTGAACCTTGTGACAAGATACAATTTATGGCGATATATTGATGAATATTTTTTGAATTATGACCTGATGCCCAAATGTGCGTGGAAACGGATTGTTAAAGCACGCATAATGCAGTATGAAGAAGACAGATGGCACTTGTTATGTAACATATCTTACAGACTTAGCGTTTATAGAACGATACAAGTTACGATAAAACCATGCGTATGGTGGAGAATCTGTCAATCGAATTGTAAATATACAGGGATGTGTAGGGATATGGTAAAACTGCTAACAGGTGCTTTCCCACTGAACTATGACACTATTTGTCCTCTGTGTGGGATGACAAATGAAACGACAAGGCATTTTCTCTTAGATTGCCTTGAACTTCATGAAAGTAGGAGTGACTTGTTGGCAGTTTTAAGTGACAGAATATTTGATGGATATAATATGGTTGAAAAAATGGAGGTCTTACTAGGAAAAAATGAAGCATTAGACTACAGAATGTATGTGAAGATAATGTTAAGTGTCAAACACATGTTAAAAACAAGAGCTGCAGCTATAGCTCTATAAACTATTAAATCAACACAGTTTGCGTTGTAAATATATATATTTTTATTTTTATATTTTTAATATTGCCACATTAACTTTATAATTATTATGTACTCATCTGCATAGGTGGAAATAAAGATACATAAACATAAACATAACCTGAACGATTGTTGCGAAGACCCCATATCCTCTGGTGGGAGAAACATCAAAACAAGTGAAGGAAAAATGTTCGGAGCGTATTGTGAGCAAGGTTGGATGTACATATTTAGACGGTTCAACGGGGCTGAGGATTTTTATCGCACTTGGGTCGAGTATCAACATGGTTTCGGTGAGCCAAGATAGAGAGAATACTTCATTGGATTGGACAACCTTGCAAGTTTTGTGAAGGGGCGTAAATGTAAAGTACGATTTGATTTAGAGGCCTTGCCACCTGTGTCAGCGGCTAAACGATTTGCTGAATACTCGGTATTCTCCATCGCTGACAAGACCGATAAGTACCGTCTTGCCATTGGAGGATACAGTGGAACAGCCGGTGATTCAATGAGTTACCATAATGGACAACAGTTTTCGACGTACGATGAAGATAATGATATTGATATTGGGAATTGGGCATACGTTTATAAAGGAGCGTGGTGGTACAAGAGTTGTTACGACTCAAACCTGCTTGGTTGGTACAAAGGACCGGTTTGCCCAAAGTATGCCGAATGTGTCGTATGGAGTAAATGGCCAACAGTCATCGGATCGCCTAATAATTTTTACTACTCCTTTAAGAAGGCGTCAATGAAGATACATTGCTGTTAAATTCAACTCAAGTTTTGTGTTCATTAAAGTGAAATAAATTACTTTGCATTTTATGAATAAACTATATTTTATGTTCATATTTCATAAGATATAAAATGTATAAGCGCTCCAGAATATTTATTTAATTCATATAAAACAAGGTTTACATGGGATAATCAGTACATATTTTCTATATCTGTACCTCATATAAAAAATAATCGAAAATAATTAAAATGTGACGGGGGGGGGGGTTAGTAATTCTCCTGTATAAAAAGCTTTCTTTTTCCTTTCTGGCACCGGGAAGTGTTTCGCTGAGCTAGAGTTGTACCCGTTAAAACACTATAAGATGAAACGTTATAACAGTCATGAATGGAATTAAACTACAATATTTACCCTTGGCCAATATCATATTTACCCTCGGAATAAAATTCATAGGCCATCCCTCCCATATATACAGGGTGGTCCAAAAAAGTGAACCCTTGCAACAAGCTATATCTTGCATTAATGGGCTGATATTCTCACATACTTTAGAGGAAGATTTAACAATCTACGTTGATTGCCACACATAGTCAAGTGGATTCAAAGTGGATCGTATTGGGGGTGTACAACACTTTTCCCCCTTAAAGTAAATTAAAATACAAAACACCCATTGATATGCTGGAACGAGCAGTGAATAACTTCAACATTCACATTGCAGCAGTTATCCAGAACAGTGAAACATTGATTGAGCACATCATCCATAATCAGGCATGTCTGTTGATGCCATGTAACTTCTGCACGACTAAGTGACCTTTATGGTACCCATAAAAACGTTAGACCTTCCTCTATAAAACATGTGAGAAGATCAGCCCATTAATGCAAGTAATAACTGAGATATAGCTTGTTGCAGGGGTTCACTTTTTTGGACCACCCTGTATATTTATTCCATTGAATGTCAGTCCAGTGTGTGTACGTCTTTGGCAAAGTAGTTGCGTTGAGGATGGATATCTACCCTTTGTACGCTTATGGACTTTGATTGGATTTTATCTGTTCCATATCATTTGAGAATGAGTGCTTTTTCTTAAATATGAATACTATGTATCTACAATTATTTTTTATGTTATTAGTACTGGCTATCAATTTTCTCTGACTTTGTACTCTGAAGCCCAGGAATACAGCTGTTATAAAATGTACTGAAATAAAGTTTTTTTGTGTTACATCTATAATTTGCTCAACTTTATCAGCTTTATGCTTTTACATGCATCGCAATACCAACTCAGTAGACCGGGGGGGGGGCTTTTTAAACATTTCGCAACATAATTCTTGGCCTCAGGGTGTACTGTTTTCCTTTTCTTGCTTTGTCCTCTAATAATATTTGCTACTTTTCCGTTTGCACTTGCATATATATATATACAAATTACTACAACAATAAACAATTCAATTATAACCCAATATCAGACCACTTTTTGTCATATTATTTTATCTACGTGTAGATATGTGACATTCTTTGTATATAAAGGCTATTTATTCAAACAAAAACATCATTATTTTTTATTTTGTCAAAAGCATAGTATTATTTAATAACACCTCTTTTATTTTTATTATTTTGTGACATTTGTATATAACAACATTTCTGTAAAAAGCGAGATTAAATTGTACCACAAACTACAAGACACTTACTTTCATTTCCATAGGAAGACGATAGTCTTGAAAGCATGGAATAGGTTATTCAAATGATCAACTTTTCAAATTTTATGCAAGGACGATTGGCTCCGAGAATGTAACATCGATATTCTGCCCCATATATTGTAACGTGACCCTTAACTTTATTTACACATGACAGATTTCAAAATGGCGGAACTGCACACCACGTGTAAATAAATAGAATATTGATGTTGCATTCTGGGAGCCAATTCTCCTTGAATTTTATGTCACTTTAATTGACAGTCTGTTTTATAAAAGCAACAAATGCATCCTTGCGCCTTGTATAAAATGTTATATTGCAATTGTACACCCCCTCCATAATTTTGAAAACTCAATGTCCCAATAAGATAATAGATTGAAACCTGTTTGTGCCTGAATCTTAATTATTATCCCGTCATGACTCATTAGCAACAATGGGTTTTAAATGTGATGAATTTCTTACTGTCAAAAACAGGCTACAATGGGTGTTATAAAATGAGGTCTTCAGATTGCCAAATTTTTGTAGGGAAGTGTATCAATACATGTATATAGTATATATGCACTGAACTATTCAATTAGATGGCAGCACTAGAGCATTAACCTGGAGGCCATCCCATCTGTCTGCCCCCCATGACGTGGATGTGAAGATGATATACAGACTGTGCCCCATCAGGTCCATCATTAATTACTGAAAATAGAGGAGATTCCATAATTTAAAACACCATAATGGTTGTGATTTATACAAAATACATGTAGTAGCCAAGACAACACAAGTCCCATTTATTTACCATAATTGCATTGTATTTTATCTTTGTTACCGCCATATTTGGCGCGCCATACCTCATTAGTATATTCCATATTTTACATATTTTACATTCAAAGACAGAGCCAGAAACCCCTCCTTGGAGGAACCCTGTGTTCTTTTGTTTGCACAGGTACACAGACATACAAGTACACAACACAGCCTTTTATACGAGTCGTGAACCACTCAGTCAAAAACCCAGAATTACATAACGCAAAGGGAATGATTGTTATTTAAAACAAATTGAACATTGCTTTTCTCCAGTTGTTTGAAATGAAACTTTTATATGATGCCGGGTTTGGGAGAAATTGAGCATCATATCACTGTGCTTCATGAATTCACCATCCAAATTTTCTCTGTTTAGTATCATACACAGGCCCATTAAGAGAGCATTTGCCAAGGAGAGGGGTCAGCTTTTTAAAAAATCCAGTGGGGTTCAAATTTGTCAATTTTGACCCAAAATCACTTGGTGAAATCAAAATGGTGAAAATTGGATGATATTAAAGGACTGTTTGGCCGGAGGGGGTTGCTCAAACCGCCAGATATATCCCCTTGGCTACTGGTCTGACACATCTCAACTTCTGGGCAGTGAGAAGTACTGGTAGGCAGTATCTTCTGTTGATCTTTCAGAGAGATACGTGTACATGGTTGTTATTATAAGTTCAATCATCGCACACTTATATGATGTTGGGATGGGGACATCATGAATCGAAGACCTGGGAGACTCTGGTAAATGTAGATTATATGCTGAGTCATTCAAAATCCATGTGATGTTTAGTTGTTCAGAAATGGGATGAGGGCCACTCCCATCTTGTTGATATATTGAGTCAGATTTTGGTAAAATTTAACTTGAATGTCATCTTCTTTGTAGCCTTAGTCTTGTACATGTTCACTGCTCTCTCTGAGGCTTCTACATGTATGTGTTTGTGTGTATTTGGTACATTTCTTTCATTTGCCATGTTATTTAAATTTTCTTTTACAAGTAAATTTTTAGTAGGGATTCACCTGGTCAACTATTCCATCTTTGGCAACATATCTCCTTTCTCAAACATAAACACAATAATCCCAATTGCTCCAATAATGATACACACGGCACTAACTCCATGTATCACACTAGCAGAAAGATATAGCATGGTTATTCCAAGTCCTGTAACAGCAGTGACTAATCCATACATGATCATTAATACACATCGTGCACGGAAATAAAGATCATCCGCCATATTTAGTTAATCTGACCAAATTAACAGCTTATTTATATGCAGGTAAATTCAAGAGTATTTTTGTTATTTTTATTTTTAACGTGCTGCTTTAATTTAGATACTCTTTAGCACAGAGGCCATGCTATAACATAACATATTCGTAAAGTTTAAAGCTCCTTGTTAAAAAAAGAAAATAAACCGGACCATAAACATTAGGCTCCTATTATATGTTTACATTTAAAAACGAAAATCTTGCTCTATTTTACCTTGTGTCATTACATCAATGTTTATCTGGAATACTGTTTTAAGTGGAAAACATTTTTTAGATGGGATCTTATGCAGGATAAATGCATTTAACTCATTTATAAGCAATATAAGTCTTATTAAAATAATTTCAGATGATTTAATGGTTGTCACCCTGATCTTGTGCACTGTTTACCAAAATAATTTTATGTATGATGAAAATTTCAAAATAAAAAAAACAGGACTCATTGTAATTAAATAATGCACTTTGAAGGGCAAAATGGCTGCCATGTAAGTTACCCAACATGCTCAAAACCTCAAGTTGAACGAATAAGTGATTTTCATAGAATTTTGAAGACAAGATTTATGTGGGGCCTGTCTAGTCAGCCACCTGTCGATACAGACACACTTTCCCAGCAGATCAAAACAATGAAGATATGTAGTGTGATAAAAAACTAAACATTTATCATTCATTTATCTACGAAATTGATGCACATATCTAATTCATGTGAAAACAAGGCAATAATAGACAAAATGTCACTACCTGCCATTTGTTACAGATGCTGAACAGCAACCACTTAAAAACGTCCACAAAAAAGTTGAAGACTACGAACAGTATGTCACCACTTCAAACAATATCTAGTAGATACCCACACTATTTCCATGTTTCAATAAAGATGTCACCTGTATCCAGACTTACCGATTCTGAATCCATTATCCAGTTTTTCTTGCTTAGCAACTTTCCTCGCAACAGACATCAGATGTCCTAGAAGCTGAAACAAGACACAACAGTTCAAGTTATATGGATTATCTGCCTTGATAATGTGGATTTATTATTAAAGATCTACGATTTCTTTTAAAATGGAGAACATACGTTTATTTGAAATAAGTGTCAGGTACCCAGGAATTTCACTAGAATTTCTCACAACTGGCTAAATAAATAAAAACAATTAGTGGAAATCATAAATTTAAAATGGAAAAGTTGAAAAGTCCCTAAAACAACAGGCGATTTTGTGAAAACAACTGGTGAAAATCGCCTGTTGCCTGCTGCTAATGAAAGCCCTCAAACCTTGCCATGCACATGCATTCATGAATATTTCAAGGTCACCAATTCCTAATGGACACTAACCTGTCAAGTTAAATTAAAAAGTTAAAGTTAAAGTACTTGCCCAATTTTTGGTCAAAACCCTGATTTTCAAAAATCTTGATTTACTCATATAATCCCCCAATTTTAATTAATAAAAATTCTCAATTATTTACCTGTTGTCAATTTTGTTTTTTTGTAACCCTGATTTTTTTAGAAATCCCAATTTTCTTTTGATTTTTTGAATTGTTGATTTAGTCTGTGTCACTCCGAATTTCTCCTGATTTTTTCTAGAAATCCTGATTTTCTCCCAATTTTTTCAGAAAATGAGCGATGATTTTCAACCTTCTTTCCAACCAACCCAGATTTTTAGAGAAAAATATCCTGATTTTTAAATTCTTTACTTGACAAATATGTCAACACAGCAGAAAAGCATAAGGGACTTCACATTACATTAGCTAATATCCACTATAAAAAGTAAAAGAGTGTTTACATTAACAGGTTTAACTGTACTATAAATAGGCTAACAAACTGAGGTGTAATTAACATAGACAAATTTTTACTATACTTTTAAACCGCCTAACCATCGACAAGGTACAGTCACGTGACAGTGACAAAATATGCCGTAGTACACTTTTGATGTACTATGTCACTATTAACTGATTTTGAGCGAAGACTATGATGTAGGTTTGATGCAGGTTTTCAAAAATAATTTTTAGGAGTACACAAAGGATTTTATGTTTGATTTCGCGTGCATTCGATTTCAAAGACATTTATTTTTCTAATAACGTTAAAAGATCTTCGAGCAGTGCTCGATTTTTTTCGTTGTTAGTCTACCCATACGATTCTTCGGTTGGAAAAATGTTTTTTTTTACACATTTCCTTTGATAATTTTCTCCCCTGACGTCTCAGAGAGTCGAATATTTTTATGAGAATGTGTTTCTCTAAACTACACAGTTTAGGACAGGTGAACATTTAATAAACATTCGTGCATTTGATATAATTTAAAAAATCAGAAATGTACATTGTCAACTCACAGTGTATGTTGTCCCTGTAATTGAAATACATGAGTTATAATATTAAACATTGCAATGACATGAATGATTTAATTTCAAAATGCATATTAAGGGTTTTATGCGTTACAAGTGATGTTCAACGAACATGCTCCTGTATCCCTAGTACAGATAAACAGGTAAAAGTGATTTTTTCGTTGAATGCTATTTTATTTTATGAAAGTATTAATATGGTGATTAATATGTGACCATGGCGTGTTTTCTTCCGACCTCTTTGACCACTCGACGTTGGTACGTTACGTTATGTTTAGTTGCACTTTTTGAAATTTAATAATCTTAAGGAGTTCATGGAGAGATCTTTAATAGCTAATCCAAGACGACTTTATGCTACAGGGTGTCCCGAAATTATGGGCCCCCTAGGCAGACATATACCAATGTCTCCATGTATGTGTCGTATATCATTTTAAAGCTCATCCAAAGTTACATTAATTTGCCGAGTATCATGGTTCAACTCACAAATTGAAAAAGTGTGTCTCCTTAGCCGCCGTGTTAACAGCAGCAATACTTTCCATATATGACCTTAAACTGGCTTCAAATAGGGATATGGCGTTTTGTAATCCTCATAAAACCTTTTTAAGGCATAAGAAGAGTTTCCTTGGAGTATCTACCCTAAACGTCATCTTTTTAGAACTCGATATCCATATATTATCTTCGAGAATAGCATCCATATTTTCTGTCACATTCAGGTCAGGACTGTTTCCGGGATACAGAAATGAACTTTTTGGCAAAACGCTAATTTTTGAAATGCCTGTTTCTTTTTACCATTTGAACCATCATATTTGGCAAATCAATGTAACTTTGGATAAGCTTAAATATGATATATGACACATACTATGGAGAAATTGGTATATGTCTGCCTAGGGGGGGAAAGTGCAGAAGTTCAAAAGCCAGGGTTATGGAATACTAAAAAATTATTAGTAACATTGAAATTTAATCATATCAATGACAATTTTATGGATTAACGGACAAAATATTAGAGTAAATTTTCCGATATGCCAGTCCTATTATTATAAATCATTACTTTATTATCAAATATGTTCCTTCTATTACACGTACATTATAGGATTCCATTCACTGTAAAATTAACTGTGAATTGAGATCTGTAAGGCCAACGTGACAACATACATTCGAGTTGACAACATACATTATCTATTTTTCGTAGTAGCATCCAAAGTAAAAAGCGGTTTTGCATTAACTCTGTATGTATATTTGTATACTTATCTTAAGTTGTGTTAGTAGTAGTTTGGCTGTTATTTGCATAGCAAAACAAAAATTAAAGAGAATTTTGCGAAATTCAGTCAAGATTTAGAGATCCCTGACCTACTGGGTAGATCTATAACAAGATATTGAAGTTGCTGAGGATCATTTGAAGTAGATATGCATATTTGCAACTTAATTACAAATCGAATGCAACAACTGCATGATGATGAACTGACACAATATTGATCAAATCAATGCTAGTTCTTACCTCGCTTCCTCATTTTAGAAAATGGCGATCTAAAATGGTGGAAATGACATAGTACATCAAAAGTGTACTACGGCATATTTTGTCACTGTCACGTGACTGTACCTTGTCGATGGTTAGGCGTGTTAAAAGGCTAACATATCTGGGTATCAACATAGACAGGTTTCCTGTGCTATAAAAAGCAAGCATATTCAAATGTCGACATAGACAGGTTTTACAATACTAAAGAAAAGCTATGAGGTGTAAACATAGACAGGTTTTACAATACTAAAGAAAAGCTATGAGGTGTCAACATAGACAGGTTTTACAGTACTAAATAAAAGCTTTGAGGTGTCAACATAGACAGGTTTTACAATACTAAAGAAAAGCTATGAGGTGTCAACATAGACAGGTTTAACAGTACTAAAGAAAAGCTTTGAGGTGTCGACATAGACAGGTTTTACAATACTAAAGAAAAGCTATGAGGTGTCAGCATAGACAGGTTTTACTGAAAAAAATAGACAGGTTTTACTTTAAAAGAGCTAACATACCGGGGTGTCAACATCCTCAGCCAGGCTCAATCTTGCAAGAGGCTTCTTCGGTATAACCAAGAAATGTATGGGGGCTTGTGGCGTGACATCACGGAATGCTAGACTCTACAAAACACCAAGCACCACATGCAAGATTCACTATTCATTAAGAAAAGAATATACACCAGGACCCAATTTGATAACAAACCAGGCAAATGAGACTGGAAATGTTAAACCAGATACAGTAAAACTTGTGTAAGTGGAACGCCTATAATACATCAACACAATGTTTCATATCGGAGATGTTCCAGTTATAGAGCTAGAGGCATATTTTACATGAATTTAAAGGGTAATTGGACTCAGAAAAGTGTTCTACTTAAAGGGTGTTCTACTTTAAAATGATGTGTTCCACTTTACAGGTTTTACTACCAGTTGATTATATGAGATGGCAACTTCATTGAATTCACAGTGATCTCCTCAGTGTTAAAGCAAGTTGGCACAGCACCCAAATTCCATTTGCATCCCATTTGAAAATGAGAAAATCATGAAAATTGGCATATTTTGACCAATTTTTGGTCTGAATTGTGAAAATGAGAATTTTGCACCCACTTGAGAAAAAATCCTGTGGAGATCACTGATTCAGTTGCCTCACACAAAAGCTGGCTATCAATCTGGTGAGAACATTTCCATAAGATTTACATACCACATACTCCCCTGGGGTACAACCTTACACAGATTCCAAACCATTACCCCCAAACCTACCAGTGTATCTGAGTCATCAGTCTGACTGAGTTGTGGAATGATTCGTTTAGGACACACCAGGAAATGGACTGGGGCTAAAGGATTATTACTTTTGAATGCAATACTCTGAAAATGTGCCAAAAATAAAGAGAATGTATGACTAAATAACAATTGGCATAATGAAGTTACTGAATGTAATTATTTACTTTTTACATGCAAAATAGTTTTTGTCCGTCTTTATCAAGTTTTTTTATAAATGTCTTATAATTTCTTTTATAACACCAAGTTAAAATATGAACTATGATCATAAAGCATAAAAATTACTGAATCAGTGCAAAATAAGATATACTAGTCGTTAACAGTGACAAAATTTCAGTGAACCTAATCATGTGAAATGAATGTACATCTACATTGTGTTAGTTCTAATGTTTTTGAAATGTTCTGTACTGGTCATTCAGATTACAAAAATATTAATGAGGGACAAAGGTTATATATTAGAAAGTGTTATTTTACTTGTAACCAATTCTTGACTTATACATATACATAATTATGATCAAAATATCAAACTGACATTATATCATCACTTTTCAAAGGATATTTAGATTCTATATCAAGAGATGATTTATCAGAATTTAAAATTAGAAATCATAGGCTTATAATAGAAAGAGGAAGGTATAATTAAACATTCAAAATTAGATATTAACGATTTCTAATTTGTTTAGAAAGCAACAAATTTAGTTTTTCATAGTATGGCAGATAAGTCATTTTACTTTTGCTAATCCCTTGGACTTACCGTGTCATCCTCGTAAATGATATCAGCTGGGATCTTCCTGTCAACTATCTTGCTAAAAATTGTCTCCTCTTGTTGCTGGGTTCCGGCCGCAGCTTTGGCCTTTGAGACCTCGTCACTCATACTGCGGGTAGAACTCTGCAAAACATTCACCAGTTCACAAAATTGTTATTTTCAGCTCTTCGTTTACTGTCGGGGATTCTACATCGTAAAAGCTTGACAAATAACCAGTGATTACAGCAGTTTTTAATGTATTTTGATAGCTATATTATACCATTTAGTTCATGTATTTCATGCCTAGGTACATTATTGGATGATATCATGCATATTTTTCAGTATCTAAGTTGGAAAGCTCATCATACAGTGATTTATGAGAATCATATTCTTTGTTGTCTTACATGTAAATTCATCCTCCCATACATTGATTTGTCAGAAACCTGGATGAATGCTGTTTAAAGGAGTATTATATTCCCAGTGAAGCATTTGTATGGAAGTCAGTGGGAAAGTAAGGGGCTATATCCACTAGTATTACATACCTAGCGAAGCATTTGTATGGAAGTCAATGGAGCTGAAGGACAGCTATATATTTCTGTATAGCCGCCAAACTTTTTTACCATGACAACTTTATGACGTCATAACATGTAAAAAAGTGATTTCGACTGGAATCGTGTAAAATTTGGGTCTTTTTTCACACATTTCTACATATTATCTCTATGAAATGCAATGTAAATGTACTTTAGGTATGTAATACATCAATTATGTCCGTATCATTGAATATATGCCTTCAGTCTGTCGTCAATATAACCCTCGCAAGCTCGGGCTATATTGACGTCAGACTTCAGGCATATATTCAATGATAGGGACATAATGGCTAAATATTGCCCAATTACATATACTCCGATATATGTAGGCCGCTAACCTTGTTTGATATTAGATTTCTTTCAAAAATAACCATGACAATATTGTGACGTCATCTTTCATTTCGATCAAATTCAACTCGCACACAGATGTTTGATATCATTGATACAAAGTAGCCAGTGGGAATAAAGGTATGAATACATCAGTTATGTCATTATGACGTAAAATATACCTTCGTTCTTGCCTAAATCATGGCCATGCCTAAATATAGAGCCTCCCAAGTTCGACCTGTATTGGGAGAACTCAGGCATATTTCACGTCATAGTGACATAACATCTAATTGAATCACATATTTTCCAAAACATTTATCTTACAAAAATAAATATTGTCAATCTTGCAAAAGACATCCAATAGTGTCTTCTACTCTCTATTTCTACATGTCTATTACTTGAAATATGTTTTGTCAAGCGCCAATCGTGTATATACATGAAGTAAATATTAAAACTCTATGATATTCTTATATACACTGTACATGTATGTAGACTGTAGCCAGTACAATAACATGCATATGTACTGTACATCAAGGACGTCCTTGTGAACATCATGGGCTCTATCAGAGGTAGTAGAGGTGGTAGAGCCCATGTGAACATGTACAAGTTTTGATGTTGAACCAAACTTACATAATAAATAGCCAAGAGACCGACCACACTGCAAAAAATGACACCAGCCATGCATCTGTTTGTTTTCCACGTATCCCCCATGAAGGCAATCAACACATTTTAATAACTTGAAAACATTCCAGGAATGGTAATAAAATTCATGCCATCCATACTATTGCCAACGTATCAATGTTATGATTTTTCAAAAGGTCAAGGTCATATTTTTAGATTTTCCAAATTTGAATTGTTTTCTGAAGAGTATCTCGCTCTCTAGGAGGTACTATCGGAATGACAGCTGGTCAGTTATCTGCCTGATTACCTTAACTAATACTGGAACACGCTTTGGTGTCGACTGCAATGCGATAAAGTGTCTCAAAAGACGTTCTTTTGGAATATTTCCGCAAGTAGATCTAATCAAGGGCGCCGCCATTAGAATGACGTCATTGTGCGCGAATTGAGATGCGCATAAAGATTGAAAGAAAAATATCCAGAGCAGAAGTGACAGATAAGCTCTCTAAAATTACAATGAATGTAACTTAACGGAAATATATACAGCCTTAAAATGATGCAGACGGGTCCAGCAGGAAACCGTTTTGCTGACTATTTTGTAGTTAGCGGATTAGATGTGGAATCGGGGCTAGAACCAGACCAATTGTCAGGTAGGGAATATTTTTTGTACTCAACCAAGAGACAGGAAGTTCATTTATTCATGGACTTTATCACTCATTATAAAGATATGTAAAACTTTAAAATCCATTTCATTCTCCAGCTTTATATATTTTCTTTTAAATGTGTATATTTCTATCGTAAGCGACATTTGGTATTAACTTTCAGAAACCTAATATTGCGGAATATTGATTGTTGACATCTGTCAATTTATCATGATAATTTACGACCAAGCCGATCAGCTGATCTTTTGTTGTGTGTCAATATCTTGCTGAATAATCTTGTGCTAGGGTGTGAGATTTGTACTATATGATAATAGATACTATATACTTTTAGATACCTTTAAACTACAGATGTAACATCTGTGTTTCATTTACAGCTCACCAACATTTTATGGTTTTTTCCACAAATCGCAGATTGTTTTAAGGAATTTTACAATTGTTTCCTCGCTAAAAGTATCTGGTTCCAGTAATTTTACTTATTATTTTCATTTGTTTTGCCTGCGTTAGCCCGGCCAATAATGAAACACTTGGAATACAAATATGCCAAATTCTATGTATCAATATGTGAACCCTCCTAGCCAAGCCCAATGTAGGCAATGTCTATTTTCAAGATACATTTGCCGCTTATTAAAATCAGATCATAATGATAATGAAACTATGAGATTTATGAGTGAATTGACTGAATCCTCTCATTGTTAGCATACTCTAAATACTTTCAGGAAAGAGATTTTCTTGAAATTCTTTTTCCATTGATTTTGGCTTAATTATAGTGGTTGGGTATTTAGAAAACCTGGAAATTAATCTCAAAGGCTCTGAAATTATCCAATTATATCCAAACTTCAATCTGTATTTAACAGACTGAACCATAAGATATACAATATCTAATTTAAACTTGAGGGTTTCAGACACATGAACCGCCAAGCTTATAAAATACTAAATGTATCAACTAGGGTCTTAGAGGAGTAATAGAACTTACAACAAGAAATGTTTAAACTTTAAGCCCATGGTTAAACGTATACCATTGTATCAAGATAATTCTTGCATCATAACCCTGTGTGAGAGAGGGGAGGAAGGATACTTGGGACTCTTAATGCAACGTGTTAATTGGTAAATACTCTTGAAAATGACATACTGTTAGAAATACCCATTATGTGTGATCTACCTTATTCTAAAGTGGAATCACTTGTATCGGAATCGTGAGACTATAGCATTGAAGAACACTGGGACACGTCATTGTTACATGATACTAAAAAACTCCTGTTATTATTTTTTTATCACGATAATACTAATGATTTTGTATGACAGACATATTATCATGTCTAGCCTATATTTAGTCTACATTGATATGTAGTTTTCTTTTATGGAAAAACAGACTATTAAAAGTGGTATATTTGCACATTATTTAACTTGCACTGAACAGCATTAAAATAATTTCAGTACATTTAATCTTTTTTGTAAAGAAGGGATATCAAAAGTTTGAAAATGGTATATTTGATCAGTTTATTAAATGAAGATTTTTTTTAATGTCAGAAAAAAAGTCACATCTGAAGCAAATAACAAAATGAAAATGGGCTAATGAGAGTTTGACTAATATGGAATAGAATGACCTTGTAACATAATCCATCCATAACTTACAGATCCAAATTAAACCTGTCTAAATTTGAATTTATAGTATTTTCACTTCTTTAGGTTAGGATAAACCATTTAATTAAATGTGAAATTTTCTGTTTTAAGCTGTTATATCATACTAGAGTCATTTCCATGGTTTTTAGGGCTTTGTGAAATTGGGTTATTAAAAAAAGTTATGATGCTTAAATAAACATATTAATTGATACTTTTTCTTTTGTAAGAATTTGAGCTTTAATCAGAAAGAATTTGTACCAAAAATACCGAAACCAATTCTAGATTGACTTTTCATCTTATGTCATTCGTATTGTGTCTAATTTCCATATTTTATGAGATCAATATAGAAAATCAAAGAAAATCGCTTGAAGGAGTCATAGAGTGTAGAATGTAGCAATTTATCTAATTCCATATTGGCCAGGATACGAGACTACTCTGCAAGAAATTGTTCTTGTTCATTATGCCCTTGTTTAAAAGTCTGGATTTATTTTGTGATGCAAAATAGAATACTGCAAGGAGAAATTTAAATAAAAAATTTATTACATAACAGCGTGCCTTGAATCAAGAAAAGAAGGCCATGTACAAAAATAGTTGAAATTTAATGGACTTAATATGTCATATTCTCTGATCCTGAAGATTATTTTTAAACATAGACATGGAAATAGACCAAAGCATAGATTGGCAAATTAAGTAATTGTACAATAATATACAATAAGAAATGTACAATGATATACAGAATTGAAGACATGAAATTTCAATTCGTTTTCCTGTTACACAAAACGATCCAGAATTCAGCACCAACAATTATTTGTACAGGCCAATCAATATTTACAGGGTCCCTGTGAATATTGTATTAAGATTTAGGAAGACTTTAGCTAACCAGTAGCCTTTAAATTGTCATGACAGCCACATTAAAATCATTTGAGTGAAAAAGTACCCTGTTCATTGGTAAGTGTACTTTGCTTTGATTTCTACAGAGTAGTTAGGGGCGGGGTCAAAATATCAATGTTCATATGGAGACGAAAGTAATTTTGTTTGGACAACAACCCCCCACCCCCCCTCTAGACGAAAGCTTAGGTCACTTCAAAAAACATTGATTTCCTATTTGCCGGGTTATTATTACGGTGAATTAACACACGTTCGCAATTTAACTGCATTGAACTCTTCAAAAGGAGGAGGGAAAAGTACGGAATTTATTTGAAAAATGATCGAATTATCGTCTTTATCTACCAATATTTTGGACCTATCACACAAAAAAGCTCACGAACTATTGAAAACAAGCCTTTTTATCAGAACATAGCGCCAGAAAAAGTGGGTAAGTCCAATTATTTTTTGTATATCAGATCCGAATTATCGATGTTTTTTTGGTCAACGAAAGTGCGCAAAAACCCCCTCCCCCCTCGCGAAAGTACTTTCGTCTCCATATGAACATCGATATTTTGACCCCGCCCCTTAGTTCGGAGAATTCATGTTAACTCAGGACTTGAGTTTAATCAAATGTGGTGTTTCCGAAGACAGGTTTTACTGTATAATCATTCCTGAATAGATTTTCTTCTTTTTTAAGGAAATCCATTATCTTTACAATTTTTTGATTTAAACAACTAAATCATCAAAGTTCACTCCTGGAAAATAATAGCATGTTATTTCTACAAACTCAGGTGGATTCTTCTAAGAAGCAGCCCTGAAGAAATGCACAAACTTGACATGGCCATCCACTCGTTGAAATTAACATGTTTTCTTGGGGCTAGAAACAAGTATTGTAATGTATATATATACTAATTTTCTTTTTACATGTATATTATGACTATTATGCACTCCATATTTTTATCACCCTGATAATTCAGAGAACCATTTTATTTCAATGAAAAATGTATTCATGGTCAGAATATAGTCAAAGAAAGGACTATTCTGGGATTATTCTCTCCCCCATTTATAATGGTTTTAATGCTTTTGTTGTTGACCTTCATTTAGTTTCATATTTACATCCTGATAGACTAAGGCGAGATACCCTGAGAGTCAAACCCCAGTAATTACTACACAAATAAAGCTCTCTAAGGAAGTGAAACCGAATTATTGAAAAGGGTAGATATAAAACGCAGGAAGGTCCCTTCCTTGTTTTGACTTATGTTCTAAAGTTACTTGGAATGCAGTCAAAATTGTTCACAACAAGACAACACTTCTTTATTTTAATTTTCCGTTTCTTAAATGTCATCGTAACCAGGATGTAATGGGGTTTGTAGTATAAATCAATTGCCAGATTTAGGTGTCTATTAGATGGCATATAGACATTAAACATAATTTCTATTTTTGTACTTAAGCTGATGATCCCTTTTAGTAACAACTCTTCCCCCTCCCCTGTGGATTTTCTTCTAATGAAGGGAGAGGCATATCCTTTAAACAAGAAAATTCTTTAACTCTGTCAAATATTCCTATTCCAAGCTTCAATGAGCTAGAATTGCACCCACAGGTTCTGTAACCCCCCCCTCTTTGGCTTCCTGTATTATCATCAATTACGTTGAGAAAAGATAGACATACTGATTATGCAGAGCCCTAGTCTCTACCTAATGTTTGCCTGTACAGTATATAACAAAGGAAAAAACAGACTGTAGGTCCCACAATGGGGAAAATATAGACACTTAGAGTCATTCTGATTAGGCTGAGTCCTTCTATCTAATGCTTGCCTGTGTATTATACAAAGGAGAGGACAGACTGTGAATCCCACAATCGGGAAGTGCTAGATACAAAATAGATAGTTAGTGAAAAGTTTGTCAAACTGTCAAATGCTTTTGTGTTGTAAGCAACAGGAAGGAAGTTGGTTTAAACTGATAATTATTAACATTACATAGAACCAAGGAAACAGAAGAACTGTCTTTGAGATAACTCTTATCATTAAATGATAGTGTCTTGAAGCTTGAATAAGAATTAAGGATGTGAAGCTAAGTACCCATTTTATCAAGACCCTTCATGTTACTTCCCCCCCATAATTAAATGATAGTGTCTTGAAGCCTAGTCTATCAGGACACTTTATGGATCACCCCCCCCCCCCTCCCCCACTCCTCCATTCTCTCTCTTTCACAGTGACTTCACAGGGGAGGGGTAGAGTTTCTTGATGCACGGTTTCTAAATACCCAAATTCCTAGCCATACCAAATAAGGAAACATGGACATTGAGACATATGAAATCATAGAACTGCTTCTCTTTTGTTAGAAGTTAGGAGACCTTAGATCTTGGGAGTAGACCTGACCTAGTTTCACCTTTAATCTTAAGTTCTATTTGAAACATAAAACCAGCAGTTTATTTATATTCCCAGATAAATATTTGTGTCTAACCACAACAGTGACCCAGAATACATGAACAGTCAGAATCAA